GGCCATAGGTCTTTTTTTCTTTTTTTCCTCCGACTTTATTTTAAAGGCACTGTCCAGAACAGGAAGAAAACTGCGTTCTGCACCGAATGCAGTGTCTCTCAATCAAGCACAAGCGTTTAGTGACTTTGCAATTACGGTGCTAGTCCAGGGCAAGAATAGTGACGAAATCGACGTTCACAGGCAGACTGGCTAAATAAGTGCCTGTGACAACTTGTGGCGCTTTCCAGCCTGATTTCCATCCATATTTTTGCCTGGAACATTCTAAATGCGCGGGTCGTCAGATTTTCGTAACTGGTGCGAGTTGCAACAATAAAACATTCTCTAGCTAGTGCTGCGCGTCTCGGTTCTTTGTTGGTCTATACCAAAATCTAGTCGACAAAAAAAGCTGCTTGAAGCTCTGTACTTCTTTCACCTATTACGTCCAAGCTGATTACATTTTTTTAAATTATATTTCTACTACGTTACTAGAGCCTCGCACACTAACTCCCGAGTGTGCGATGCAAAATTAAAATGAGATACCCAGAAACCCGTTGCACGTGCCCTGAAGTCGCTGACGCAAATTTTGAGGAATGTATTTGGAAAAGTATTTGGAGGAGACCAAATACATTTGGTTGTATTTGTATCTTGTATTTAAATGCTTTTTTGGAAATGTAATTAGATTAGTAATTAAATACATTTTTGAAGAAGTATTTTGTATTTGTATTTTGATACATATTTCCATGTATTTTGCCCATCCCTGCTCCCAAGCAACAGTTCCTTTGCTTTCCCTTCTGAAATACTATGACCGACTGGCTCCTCCTGCGTGGCCGTCACTGTTCGCCGCGTCAACGACACATTCGTACCATTTCACTTCTCGTATCACAGGGTGCGCTGCTCACTTTACTGTCACGAGCCGTCCTATTTAACACAACGAGCGCGAAAGGTGGTGGTCATCTGCTGGTTCCGAAAGGGCGGGACGTTCATATAGGCCAATGAGGGCCCCGAATCAATACGACGTCTGCCGATTTCTACACATTAAATAAAAATTTACGATGCCTGCAGGTCTGTTAAGAAGTGTTGCTTTCTCTTTTGAACTCCTGCAATGTAGCTTGCCGCCCATAATAAAATTTAAATGATCAATAAAGATAACAGGGTGGAGCTACTGTATTTCATTTTTATGTGAGAGCATTGAAAAAGGACAGAAATATTACCACGTTTGTGAAGACGCGCAATTCGCATGTCCGTTTCGAGCCGTAAAACCACGTTTTTCTGCGGTATTGATGCTTAAATATAAAACGTACAAACAAAATACACACTTTCTCGACTTACTTTTCGCGTAGACAATCATCATATCTCCATTTTAACAAAAAATAAAAAAAAAAATGTTTTTTTTGTTAGAAAATCGATTTAAAATTTTGTACTTTTCGGTTTTAGCATAACATTAACGTAAACATACCACAAAGGATACTTTATACAGCTGAGTCAGTTTATAATATATATACAGAGGGTATTTTGGGCTCTCCATAGACATAAAAATATCGATGTAACCCGAGTAGATCGCCAGTATTTAATTGTCAAAGTTCGTCAACAATTATCCGAGGGGGCGTTTTTGACATTTTTACAGAAAAAAAAAAGCAAAACGCCTAAAATTATTTCATGCTATTAGAGCCTTTTATCTGTGCTCACAGAGTGCTTGAAAAAAAGTTAATATAATGTGGACTGAAAATCCACGTCGGGAGATCGAGCGAAACATCCGACCCACAACGCATGTGAAAAGCATTGCTTTCCGCCGCAGCCTCTTTTAAAATTCGTAAGTCGAGAACAAAAAAATCCGATGAACATACGGCTTGCGGCTACTGCGTTTTTAGAGACGACGCCATAGCATATATTTTTTTCAGCGTAATTATAAATTCGACCCTTTTTGCCTTCACGATTGAGATGAAATCACCCATATATATATATATATATATATATATATATATATATAACATTTGGATTTGATGAAGAGCGGTCCCCGCTCAGAACGTCGTCCAATAAATACTTTTCCAGGCATTATGAAAATCTGAATTTCAGGAAATTGGAAATTTAACAAAACTAAACTTCGATAAACCCTGCATTTTCAGCGAAGAATAAACTCCGAAAAACGCACTCCGAATTTCACGAGAAATGAACTCCGAAAACACGGGATCCTAGCTAAACATCTACGGGCCATCAATTACCGAAAGAATTTCGCTGTTCTTATGACGGTGTTTAACATTCTAGGTCTATGAGTTACTAAACCGTGACATTGTGTTAACGTTAACTGCCTTAGCTGGATTTTACCGTTACCATTGCGTCCAAAGAGTAAACTCCGCAGTTGCGCTACTCATTTCTAGCTCTCGCTATTGTAATCTCTCATGCTGAGGCTAAGAAGATCGTACTAACATGGGCCCACCTCGCACTTTTTTACCTCTTCGAGCAATTACGACACTACAGCGATATCGTAAGCGCGTTACATGGTGAATAAATTCACGATATAATAAAATTCATGCTCTTCCCTGACTGCTCACATGAAGTCGCTCTTCTACACCGCTTGTGCAAAAAGCGAACGCCACGGCCTCCACGGATCTATCAGGACAGTGGAAAGAAGCACGTGACAGACCTTCGCAAAATGCGCCGAGAAAGAGAGAGAGGAGGAGACGGGAGCGCGCGGGGACGTCAGAACGACGAGCTCTGATTGGAAGGATTAGTGGGTAGACGCAAAGCTAGCTGCCTCTGTCTCTACTGCCAGCCGGTGTCCCGCGTTCTAATTACTGATCTCTACTGTAGTATATAGGCTCGATCGTGGAGCGAGGTTTGTCTTTCTGGTGTCGAGTGGCACCACGGGACTCTACGGGGGAAAGCGAGAAAAAGTGCTGTTTTCCCCGTTTCTAAGCTTAGGTCGGCACTGAAACATTTTGGTTGCATTTCGGAAAGCCTGTCAAATAGCTCGTGCGCAAACATTAAAACCGACAGCCCTCACGCTTCTTATCAATAAATGTTTTGTGGTCGAGAGTGACCTTGCTGAGAGAAAAATGTGACCAGTGTTACTTAGAGCTACCGCGGTGTCGTTGGCGGTTTCGATGAGTTAATAGACCATTTGCTAAATTCTCCAAACGCCCCGGCCCGCACTTGAGGAATCATGGGAACGGTGGTCTTTCAGCTTCCTATTGAACGGTAATTTTGACCAATTCGATGGTTACACAGTTTTGGGTGTAATCCGCAGTCCCCCTGAACAAGCGTCGTGTAGAGTAAAAAAACATGTCATGTTACTTTTAACAACTATCGTCAATGTCAGCATTTTTTGGTACTATGCATGCGAACCACTCTTCCACCTGGCTGAACTGCAGAAATTTCTTACAATAATATCATTCTCGTACAGCTTCAAAGACGCTGATATTAAGTGAGCAACGCTAAAAATGCTATAAACAGCTAAATCCTGGTTTTGGTTATTGTGAATTCTCGGCTTTTTAAGCAACTCCTGCTAAAACCACAATGAAGAGATTTCTGCAGCTCAGCCAGGCTGAAAGATCGACTGCATGCACACTAGGAAAAACGCTAGCATTAACGAGAAATTTTAAATGTGATATGACAGGTCCTTGGGCTCAGCACGAAGCTTGCTCGGGGAGAATCTGGAATACACTCAAAGCTGTGTAACCATCTAATTGGTCGAAATTACTGATCACCGTGCATGGAGCTGAGGGACGTCCAACCCCATGATTCTTCGAGTGCGGGCTGGGGCGCTTGGGGGATTTAGCAAAGGGTCTAACGACAAGCTTGACGGCTTTGCTACGCGAAATTCGCTCACTCCTGGAAAACCGCAGTCAACCAACCCCTTTGGAAGTTTTCCGTCATTCATCAACTTCTGGGCTTCCCCGAAGACGATCTTATTGACGGCGAGCTCGTTTGTTCACTCCGCTACGAGAGCAAGCTTGTCAGCTCAGCCGTGGGTACTCTGGCACGTTTAATTTTTCATGGGCGTTCGAACACTTGACAAATACCGATTCGATCTTCAAACACCCGATATAATAATTGCAGCACATCATAACATACTCGCCTTCGAGCGCAGCATACAAGTTTCAATACTCCTACTTTTGCGTGTTGCTCCCATAAACTTGCGTGTATTGCCTGGTATCAAGAAATGCCCGCCCGTGGTGCCACCGCCGGGCTCTCGATCCGAGATCGAGCCTACTACAATAGAGATCAGTGGTTCTAACGTGCTCGACGAGTGCAGTGGAGACAAAGGCTGGCACCTTTAGGTCTACCCACTAATCGTTCCAACGAGGGCCCGGCGTTCCGACGTTCCCTCTCGTATCCTCCTCTCCCTCAATTTCTCAACGTATAGGTAAAAATCATCGCCCAGTTAATTTTTAATTGGTGTTACGTACTACATAAAGAGTGGGTAAAATAAGTGGCCCGTAATATTCATTACAAACACGACCGCCGAAATTTTGATTGTCACCGGATTGACTCCAAATTGCTTAGATGTACGAATACCCACAACTGAACAAGTAGCTCAAATTACAAATCACTATTTTTTTTCTCGCGAGGTTATTGATTTTTAAATCGTGCTCTGGAGAAGCGTATAGGCTGTACTGTCAACACAGAAAACGCGACCAAATGTAATATTGAGGTAGTTCGTTCCCTACAGGTTACAAAAGTTTTATGATATACAATTAATGATTAAAAAGCTCCCGCCTGCAAAACTAAAAATAAAAAAACGCAAAATATTGTGTTCTTTAGACTATCCGCTCGACTTGCAGGTAACACAACATCTGTCTTCACTGCGCTGGAGACCGCGGGAAAAATTCATGTTATTTTCGGCACAACCTTCGTGAGTATCTTAAATTTAGAGACAGTAAATAGCGTGCCGGGAAGAGTAAAATCTGAGTATTACGAAAGTGTGTTTAGATTGAATATGTACTTTAAAAAAGTGAAGAATCATCATCCTCATTATATCCTTGAGAGCACCGCGGATATGTGATTGCTCAGGTGTCGCTCACAGGTGTGGAAGGACGCTCGCTCGTCATCCTCCGTCAGCCTGTAGATCTCCGGGTAGAGCACTCCGAAGCAGTTGATGAGGCCGAACACTGCGCCGTGCACCCAGAAGGACGCCAGGCACACGAGCCACCCCCAGCCACCGTCGGAAGGAGCCGGTTTCTCTCTTGAAGCGTTACCATCGAGTACAGACGCTCGTCGTTTTTCGGGATCCACTGCGCCACTGCCGCCCGACATTCAAGCTTCCCCAAAACGCGCACTTTCTTCCGCGGAAAACCCGAATGAACTGTCATAAAATCGCGCGTTTCACAAAACGCGCCGCAAGATCAGCGAGCTCGAAAGTTTCACCAAGGACCTCGTTGAACGGAATGACTGTGAACGTGACTGGCGCAAGTGGTCCACGAATATAGGTAGCAGAGTGGGGTGCGAGCAGCGTCTCTGGGTCCGGGGCCGTTTGGAGATCGCTCACGTGAGCGAGGGTTCCCATTGCTTAATCTCTGCCCGGTGGTGACACAAATGAGTGGCACTCTTTTCGTGCCTCGGTTGTTCTCTCTTCGCACTCCCGTCGTACCAGAGAGGCGAGGCGGCCCCTTTTTCTTTTCGGGTGCCGTGCCAAAAGAGCCAGTTGCCTCATCCCCGCACTCTTCCAACTTTACCGGCAGGTTCCTTTTTTGCTTCTTTCTTTTTTTCTTAAATGTCAGAACGGGTTTATATCTCGTGGCCCTAAATTTCTTCAACTGATTGTCATTCTCTATTTACTTAGCACTCCAGGTGATGTCGTTTAACGTGTCTGCTTTTCGACAGACCATTCCTAAAATACATCTTTACCGTCGAAACTGTAGGGCCAGGGTCAAATTAGCGTATATTCCGCATCCGCACCCGGCGTTTATGCTCCGCAGGGGCATATTTCGATAAAAAAAGAAGAAACAAAATATATTCTTCGTGAAGGGGCATATCCGGTTAATTCCGTGAAATTGGAATTAATGGTTGATCATATATCCAGAAGTCTCAATAAACGGCTCTACGTCATATATTAAAAAAAATAGTGTGATATTTTTCGCACATTCTAAAACACCCAACGAAGCGTCGCCTGTAGGCTTTGCTAAAAAAATTTAAAGACGTTTACCAATCTCTGTAACGCGAAATAAGAGTGCAGCTCTTGAGGAGGAAGAGAGAAGGGTTGGGAGGGTATCCCATTTTCCTTCTCTCCTATTCCTCCTCCTTCCATCTCTCCCCTCCTCCTCTCCCATACGCCTTGTTCGTACCTTCCCCTCCTCCTCCTCACGTGACGTCAATTTGCCCGCTAATCTTGCAGAGAAACTGAATTTGCTCATAGGGGACGTGACACCAAGTCGTGTGACGTCACTTCTGTTTCTATAGAAACACAAGTGACGCAGCGGTAGGAGTAACGCAACCAAGCAACGGCGCGCACCGCGAAACCGCCTTCTTTGAAACCGTCACGACGTGGCGAGATTGGCGTCTGTCACTCTTTTGAGAGACGTCGAGAGCCAACCCCCGGAGAGCGGAAGGAGCTACGCTGTCCCCCTGCCGTACCTACGCTTTCCCGGCCGTACCTAGATGGAACTAGGGATGCCGCGAGCTTTTTTGGAATCGAAGTTTCGACGGTCGAATCAAGCGGTTCGAAAGGTTTTATCTAGGCGAGGCTAGATAAAATATAAAACTGTTTCTTTTTTAGTCCACTAGCTAAATTACAGACGTCTATTAACCAAATGCTCATACCCGTAATGTATGTTTCCCTTTTTCTATATATACACCTGAGAGGTGGTGTTTTCTACTTAATCTGAAAAAAAAAAAAAAACTTTATTTTATTTTTTCCTTTTTTTTTTTTAGATTTAAGGGGGGTATCCAGGAAAACTAGGGGAGGTCTCAACCCCCCCTAGGGGGGGTCTAGGGAAATCCCTGCTTCAAGGGATTAAGATGCCGCACGTGTTCGTCGAGCTAATTCCGAGAAGTGGTCAGGGATTGTTCGTCCTGAACGTATACAGCAAACCCTCGATGCAGCACCGATTCGGGCTATTCCGCAGGGCGCGTGCAGTTGCCGGCGATGGGCCGCTACTCATCGCGGGCGACTTCAACGCGCCTCACGCTGCCTGGGGGTACGGACGAGAAACGCCCAAGGGCAAGCGCCTGTGGGAGGACTCGCAAGACCAGGGACTGGAATTCATCGCGAACCCTCCTGACCCCACGCGGAAAGGTAACAGCGCGTGCGTCGACACGCTACTGGACCGTGCGTTCGTGGCGAACGTAGCCGCCGCGCAGTGGCAGAACATGCAGGAGGATCTAGGAAGCGATCACTCGCTGATCGAGATTCGAATAGACACGGGGCAGCACGGTCGCGGGTTTCTCTCCGACGGCGACAGGAAGGCGAGGGGACGTAGGCTCCTAATCGTGGAATGGGACGCGTTCCGTAAAACGCGCAAGGAACACGAGCGAGGTGACGGGCCGATTACGAACATTGATGTATGGACCGAGACGCTTAGAAGAGACGTTGACGCGGCAACGCGCGAGGTCCCGCCCGAGGCGAACCTCGAAGTGATCGACAGCAGACTCCTGCACATGTGGGAGGCCAAGCGGGCCCTCCTAGACAGGTGGAGACGTCAGAGACACAATAGGACCCCACGCAGACGCAGAGCCAAACCAGACAGGGACATAGAAGAACATGCCTTCCAGGTGTGCCGCGCGCAATGGGAGGAGACGTGCAACGGCCTATCGGCGCGAGCGCTTGGTGCCTCTTCCGGCACCTACTGGATCCGGAGGAGACCAGGACCGCCCAGGGGCACAAGAGGCCGGATTCTCAAAGCGAACTTACGACGAAAAAATTGCGTACGACAAATTCGAGAGAAAATCCGTATTCTCGAAACGAAATTGTCGTAACTTTTGCGCAGGTTACGACAGAATCCTACGACAGCTCCGAACCTGTCTTACGCACTTTCTACGATCAAATTAACATGGCCGACAACGTCGCTCAGTTCCGCGGTCGCGACCGGCTGGCTTGCTGAATGGAATATGCCCGCGCGACCCTTCTGGGCCCTCCCCGTGTGAATAGTTTGATAGCTGAACTAAATCTCAGAGGTCAACCTATTCCCCTTATCATCTCGATCACCTTGTTTTCCGAGGCAGCGGTGACGAACGCTGTCGTCGAAAAGGGACTCCTCGATTCTATCTCTTTGTTTTGTGTGATATAGAGCTCAAATAAACGCCGTATGGATTACCTTCGCAACACGGTATGTACACTTTGTTATTAGTATCCCATTTTTAACTGTCGAGCTATATCAGTTTGTGGGAGCTACGCGATGCCGGTCCAAACTTCCTTTGCCGAGTGTCACGTCAGTATCGAGTTGCAGTCGTAGAAGATCGGTCCCGAAGCGCTTACCGAAACGCAGTCTGAATCCAGCACTTCGATCAAACGCACGCGTCCGCTCCGAGTGTGAACAGGTATTTGCGTAACTCTTGCTGACACTCTCGTAGTTCAAACGTATATTATTTAACGTCGGCTCACTCCTGCATTTCCGAGGCCGCGAGAAACGCCGCGGAGGTTTGTTTCCATCTACGTCGCTTTGCAAACGACTGGCACGGGGCTTTTACCAACGATGACAGTTGTGTCGACTTCATTGCGATCGAGTTTGTAGCAGTCAACGAAGCGTTTAAATCGCACTGCACGGACACGAACCCCAGACAAGCGGTGGTGGAAAGGCCGCCCGTGTTTATGAGAATCAGCTTGAACACTAAACATTTACACACACACAGTACAGGACATACACAGAGCTGCCTATCAACGAGTGGTTAGCCTGTGTTTGTTATTAAAAATCCACGTGCTCCGAACTATGCCTAGCTCTCTAATTGGTTGTTCGTTTTGCCGAAGACGCCGTTGCCATAGCAACAGCACCGGAAGTCATCGTTTCTCCGTAAGAGGTCGTAACTTTCCTCCTCTCACTTAAGAAGGCGTTTGTGAATACCGTTCTTGCCTCATCTTACGATGATCGTAACTTTACGAACATCGTAGCTAAGATGTCGTAGGTAAGAGGTTTTTTTATGAATCTGGCCTAAGATTCGCGGACTCGTACGCGACTTTCGGGGCACGCCAGACGACCTTCTAGAGGCCGTGCGCGAACGTTACTTCAGAGCGGGCGAAAGGGTCCAGCACCCTGCGTTCGACGGAGCCGAAAACGAGAAGCTAGACGCGGAGTTTAGCGAAGCGGAAATCAGTGCGGTTTTAAGCGGTCTCACTACCAGGTCGGCGCCCGGCCCGGACCGGGTGACCAACAAGACGCTTCGAAACCCGAACGACGAGTAGGTTGCGCGACTCACGGCCTACGTTAACGAGTGCTGGCGCGAGGGCTCTCTCCCCGACGCCTGGAAAAGGGCCCGCGTGGTCATGATTCGCAAACCGGGCAAGCAGGTGACGATAGATAACTTAAGACCGATCTCGCTCACGTCCTGCGTGGGGAAAGTCATGGAACACGCGGTCCTGACTCGTGTGACCGATTATCTTGAAGACAGCGACGTCTTCCCACACACGAAGCTGGGATTCCGTCGTAACCTCTCCACGCAGGACGTGATGCTGCAGCTCAAACACCAGATTGTAGACGATACTTCCAGTTCCACCAAGGCGATTCTCAGTCTGGATCTCAAGAAAGCGTTCGACAACGTTGAGCACGCGGCGATTCTCGACCGCGTCCGATCGCTGGGACTAGGCCTAAGGACGTACAACTACGTACGCCATTTCCAAATACAATATAGCTTCGCCAATACTGGAAACTCCTCCGAAAACACATAGGAGCGGCGGCGAACGTGACAGTGGCGCCTCTAGCGGACTCGGAGTCTACTGAAGCAGTCGTCGCAATGGAAAAGTATAGGCTCCGCGACGTCCTCGAGCTTTACAAGCACCGTATCGTCACCCTAACAGGAGAAACAATTTATTACGGTCAGTTCGCTTGCAAAGCGGAATCTACTGATCGCAACTGCAACGACAATCGAATAACAACGCGCGCATAAACAAAGATAAAGCAGTTTATTTAGCGGTCTCAAACGCCTCTCAGGGGATCACACGCGTTTGAAACGCGTCTGGGAAGCGGAAAAAAAAAAAGGCGTTTAGCTACTCGAACTACATCGTAATCGTTAAAACATGCAAAAACGACACGTTAATATTAGCAGAGCAAGCGCACGAGCTGCTGGAGCATAAAAACAAAACAAAAAGTAAGGATAAGAATGAACGT